TTTTGGTTTTTTGAGACAGGGTTTCCTCTGTATGGCTTTGGTGCCTGTCCTGGATCTCGCTCTGTAGACCAGGCTGGCCTCGAACTCACAAAGATCTGCATGGCTCTGCCTCCCGAGTGCTGGGATTAAAGGCGTGTGGCACCACCGCCCGGCTTTTCTATCTTTTTTTTTTAAAGATTTATTTATTAATTATGTATACAGTGTTCTGTCTACATGTATCATTACAGGCTAGAAAAAGGCACCAGATCTCACTATAGATGGTTGTAAGCCACCATGTGGGCACTGGGAATTGAACTGAGGACCTCTGGAAGAACAGCCACTGCTCTTAACCTCTGAGCCATCTCTTCAGCCCTTTCTATCTTTTTTTAATGTAAACTAGAGTATTCACGAATGAAATTATATTTGGATTGGATTTAAATATATTCAAGCTGCCATGAATATTGGCCACTGCTGATAACTAATGAAAAGAGACAGGCACACAGGGGTGGTCATTACAGTATTCTCTCTGCTTTCATGTATGCCTAAAATTTCCCTTTAGTACTTTGTATAGATTTTGGATTGTATTTTATGTGTCTGAGTGTTTTGTATGCATGTGTGCCTGGTGCCCACGGAGGTCAGAAGAGGGCATCAGATGCCCTGGAAATGGAGTTCCATGTGGTTGGTCCTCAGCAAGAACAAGTGCTCTTAACTGCTGAGTCATCTCTCCAGCCCCATGACAACAGCTAATTTGTAATTTTCGGGGTTCTGTATTATTTTTTGATATTGTTATTGTGTTTTGTTGTTGTTGCTGTTTTGTTTTGAGACAGGGTCTCTCTGTATAGCCCTGGCTGTCCTGGAGCTCACCATGTAAACCAGATTGGCCTCAAACTCAGAGATCCACCTACCTCTGTCTCCCAAGTGCTAGGATTGAAGGCATTTGCCACCATGTCTAGCCAGATATTTTTATTTTATGTGTACAGTTGTTTTGCCTGCCCGTAAATATGTGCACCATTTGTGTGCCTGGTGCCTGAGAAGGTCAAGCAGAGGGCATGGGATCCCCGGAACTGGAGTTACAGAGAGTAGTGAACCACCATGTTGGTGCTGGGAATTGAACCCAGGTACTCTAGAAACATTTAGTTGGGGGCTTGCTTCCAGATTCAGAGTGTTAGTCCATGATCATCATGGCAGGGAGCATGGCAGCAGGCAGACAGGCATGGCGCTGGAACAGTAGCTAAGAACTTACTTCTGATCCACAAGATGGAGGCAGAGAGAGACTGGCCTGGCATGTGCTTTTAAAGCCCACCCCCAGTGACACACCTTCTCCAATAAGGCCTTACCTCCTAATCTTTCGTAAACAGCCTACCAACTGGAAACCAAACATTCAAATATGTGAGCCTGTTGGAGCCATTCTTAATCAAACACATGCACACACACACACACACACACACACACACACACACACACACACACACCCCTAAACAGAACTAAAATAATGAAAACACATAACAATGACACAACTTCTGTTTCCCATTGCTAAAAAATAGTTCCTTTTAACTTTTGACTTTACATTCTCAGAACAGCGGACTCCAGAAGTTATGGGTATAAATCACGGTGCATAGTCTAGCATGGAAATTCTTATGCATAGCACAGACTATAATAAACAATAACCTAGAAAGATCTATACTAATAAAAAATTTATGTAGAGGCTCAGCAGTTAAGAGCACTGGCTGCTTTTCTAGAGGTCCTGAGTTCAATTCCCAGTACCCACATGGCAGCTCATAACCATCTATTATCAGTAGTACCATGTGATCTGATGTCCTCTTCTGACTTGCAAATGACATTCAGACAAAATATACAATACATAAAATACATAAATACATAAATAAATCTTCAAAATTGTGTAAACCCTACAAGACAAAGTTAACTGTCAGTACATAATATGTTCATTTTAGATTATGTGGATCAGAAAGCTAGCCAGTCACAAGGAAATAGTCCATGGGCATTGGGAAGAAGATTTTAAAAACTAATAAAGGACAAAGAAATTAAATCAGTCTAACAGTGTCTAAGTATTTTTCTCAATTGCCAAAATGCATATGAGTAAGTTTATTTATCTAAATGTTGGACTTGTATTTTTTTTTCAAGAGGGGGATGCTTGCATAACTATATGTATACACATGCATGAGGAGACCAGAACAACCTTGGTGCTAATTCTCAAGCACCATTCATGGCTTTTGGTTTGGTTTGGGTTTGGGTTTTTGGAGGGAGGTTGGAGACAGGGCCTTCTGTGAGCCTGAAACTCACCAAGAAAGCTAACCTGGGTACCCAGGGAGCACCAGGGACCCGACTGTTCCCTTTCCCAGGGCTGGGACCAAGTGCAAGGTAAGCACTTTAACCAACTGAGCCATCTCCTCAGTCTTAAATTTTATTAAAATACAGAATGTTCCATAATTCTGATAAAAGAATCAACAAAATATTTTTATTTCTTATATGTATAATCC